GCGCGGCGGCCGGAGCGGCAGACACTCCACACACTGGCCCCTCCGGGCCGCTAGGGCTTCCCTCCGGGCAGCGTCTCCGGAACCGAGGAACTCGCCTGTCTTGGGCTTGCCTGGGAGAGCCCACCCCGCGGGGCAGACGGAGCAGCCCCCCGTGCTCCCTGGGGACCGCTGTGCCCCACGCCGAGAGAGGCGGGCAAAGGGGACCTGGGCGGGTTGGGGCCGCTGGAGGGACGGCCGGGCCGGAGCGAGGAGTGGATCTTCTGCACAAGTCTTTACAAGTCCTTACAAGTCCAGCCAGAGGTTCGCTTCTGAGAAGCGACGGGCACAAGTCTCGCTGGAACTACAGCACGTCTTCCCGCGGTTCTCACGCGTAGGGACGAATCAGCCCTTAGCAGCGGTTAGACCCGAGGGAGGCTTCGGACAGCACCGTTTCTTTCTTGAAAAGTTATCTTGTCGCTGAAGGCGCCTCCGGAGGCTTGTTAAACTTATCGCGACACGGAAAAAGAAACTGTTTTTGTTTCCTTCCGGGAATCCCGCTCTTTAAGACTGTCAGTTACTGTGTCAGCTTTTGTTTTGTTTTGTTTTGCTCCTTGCCCTTCATTTTCTTCTTGGAGCCTTTCTTAGCTCGCACTCTACGGCAGTTTCTGTTCTCCGGGGCGGGAGGGAACCCGGGCCTCGCGGCGGGGGCGGTGGTCCCTGCTGCCACAGCGCACGCGCCGTGGCGCCAGGACTCGGCCTAGCAGCTTGAGCAGCCGCCGCCGCCTCTTTTGGAGAGTCCCAATCTCAGAAATGCCAGCTCAGAAATGATGGCTAATCCAAGAGATTTAGCCTCCAGAGGGTCAAAGCCTTTGAAAGCCAATGGATTCTTAATTTAGGGGGCCCCGCCGAAGTTCCAGGCACTGTGATAGGAATGTTTATAAAAGTGACCTCAGTCAATTCTCACTGGCACCTGTGCAGTGAGGAAGATGCCCTCATCTCCACTTTATAGATGGTGAAATGGGGTTCAGAAAGTTTAAGTAATTCAACAGCTAGTAAGTGGCAGAGCTGGGATTTAATTTAACCCTAATTCCAAAGCCCAGACAGTTTGTCGATTGCACTCAATTTCCAAACTAAACCAACAGTTGAAAGGAAGAATAACAAGAATGACTGGCTCCATCTTATGATGGGTGGGGGGAATCTTCGTTTCTTCTGAAATAATATGCAATATTTGGGCTCCTTTAGCACCTTCCTTAGATAAAATATAAGATTCAAAATCGAGAAACCATTTACACAACCTCTGACCACACCCTTCTCTTCCTTACCATCAACCACTGCATTGTTGCAGTGTTGTTTGCTTTGAAAATCTCTTAGTTTTGGGGACAGCAATATTGGTACGCGTAGCAAAATTACCAAAGCCCGGAGCTATACTTACTAAATTTTTATACAGTACCGTCTTTACCAGAGGTATATGTTTAAAGCACAAAGGAAACTTTGCTTTTCTGAAAGAATGCATGCACAAGCATACACACACATTCATATATACACATACATTTATATATACATATTATAATACCATAATATAAATTACACATAATTTAAAAATTATATTTGTATATGATATATGACCTAAGAAGTTAAAGTTATTAAATAAAATTTTTAAATGCAGATGAGTCAAAAGAAAAAAGTCTGACATAACCCTATCACCTAGGTAATCATTGTTTCCATTTTGTAGTATACCCTCTGTTTTTCTCCTCTAATGTGACTCTTAAATTTAGTTACACAGAGTTCTGCCTTGCATCCACCACTTGCCCAATATCACACCTCTATTCTTAAAGAAGTTTCCACACTGTCACGTTACCTTGTGTATCTCCAGAAAATGCTTGATTTTATGCTCTTTGCTTCTCTTCCCTTCTTTCTACCCTCTTGGAGTTAGTTTTCTCTCCCCTGGTTTCTGGGTGTCGTTTCCGTGGCACCCACAACAAATAAATTTGACATCTCAAAGTAATTCACAAATATCTGAAGGAGACAGAAAAAGACTCAAACTTACTTTAGAAATTTGTGTGAGAAATAACTGGGCACTGCTTCTTTTTTTTTTTTTTTTATAGCACATGTTTTGTACTTTTTGGATCTATGGTCAAGCAACTACTAGACAGCCAGTTTATCCTCCTCCATTTCTTGAAGCAGTTGTCTCAAAATTATGATGAGGAAAAGAAGAGGGCATTAAAAAAAAAAAAACCCAGCAGTGCCTTTGTAAGTAATCACAGAATAATTTTAGGGAGAAAATAAAGAACAGTTGCTTAATTTATAATTTAATTATTTTCCTTAAACCAACCTAGGAAACATAAAATAGATTGCAATCTATTTTTACTTATTTTCATTTTTAAAGGATTATAGATATATCACAAAGGACTTGAAAATTTTTATAAATAAATAAAATTATGAAATGTAATTTAAAACATTAACAACCAGAATGGAAAAACACAAATTTATTAATGATGACAAGGTTGGTAGGCAAAAATGAAATTGATATATGAGACCTTCAGGGCCCCCAATACAAGCTACAACAAGATGAATGAAGTCTTCTATTTTCCATCCTTAAAATAGTTACCACTCTTAGTGAGTTTAATTTAGAAAAAGAAATTTTATTTCTTGCATTGAGTTTAGAGGCAGGGAAAGGTGAACAAGTTAGAGGCAAAGAGGACCCAAGATTTGGTTGTTGTTTCTGAGTAAATATCTTTGGAACACTAGCCAAGTAATTTCCTTCTAAATAGTTCTTATAGTGGAAGTGCCAGTATTTTAAAAAAAAATCTCTCTGAGGGCTACTAGAATGTTTTAGGGTACCCAGATTGCTGTAGCACAACTGCCAGTTGGAGAGAATAACTCTTTTCTAAGAATGATCAAAAACCTGAATAAGGAAATCCCCCACTTGAAAACCCCTAGTGAGTTAAATACCTCTTTGTAAATTATCTTGAGTCCGAAAGTCCCTTAATGAGCACATGTTTTATAATAGGTACTAAAGACTATTTACTTATGGTAAAAAAATAATCAAAGAGACTAATTTAAAACTTGATGCACAAAATAAAAAGCAAATTAAACCAAATTTAGGACAGTGACTTTATTTCTTTCTTTTATAAACAGACAAATCGATCATATAATGTAAAACAAAAAGTAAGTCTTGAAAAAAGTGAAATCTCATTGTTTCACCACTTAATTATAAGCATTTTTTATTTTACTTATATCCTCCTAGCCTTGTCTACACATACATGTAATTGCATATTTATTCAGTGCTATTTATAGTCTGCTTTTTGTCACTTCATATATACATGAATCTTTTTCTATCTCTACATAATTTTCCTATAATTTGGGGGAGATGCATTATAGAGAGTACATTTATTAAAGGAACTTGGATTACTATAATCCTTAATATTTTATTTATTATTTATAATTTATTATTATAAAGGAAACATTTCTTAAATATACTGGGATATATGTATATATTATTACAAATAACTTATAGATATTAAAAACATATATATGTCTTATTACTAAAAAATTATTGTAGAACCATTATAAGTGCCTTACGAAAGCTTCCTGGATCCTAGTACACTGTTTTTTCACATGAGCGTCTGTATGGATTTAGGCCCGATTTCGAAAATTGGGCCTATACTGCCCCATACAGTATATATGTATGTATGTATGATATTATTTTTGCTACGTATGTGCATCTATTCACAAAAGTGGGAAAACAGCATTTAACTACTTAAGTTCTTTTCATTTTCTAGAAGACCCCGGCTTTAAAAGAAAAATAAAGTGTCTAGCTTTTTATATAGTTAGATTCCTAACACCAATTAAGTATCTTCGATTCAGTCTTAAACAAGAACAAATCACTCAGTCTACATGCCTACCTTATTTTCTTTGAAGTGAGAGTATGACTAGTAAAACACAAATTAGAAAGAAATTAATCGTCGTAAGATTGGTAACTTCACCTTCCTCAAAAGACATAAACTAGGTCTCGCCTTTGATCACAGGTCCCTTCTTGATTTGGAATGAACTTTTGTGTAACTGAAGAGGAATTTTCACTCAAAAGGCTGATCAGCGATTTGTTCTTCTATAGATATGCTTGCTGCATAGGCCTTACTCGAAATTAAAGACTCATCTTCTCTTGCTTGTTCTGTTTAAGCAACAAATCTAACTGCCTGTACCTCTTAGCAACTCCAGCGCTTTGTAACTCTTTGGAACTGAGCAACCCATAGCAACTCCAGTGCTTGTAACCGTCTGAGGACAAATTAACCAATCAGCCCATGCCAAAAAAGTTCTATATAAGCAATGATGCAACTGAGCTGGGGTCCAGATCTTCAGAGTGCTAGCTCCTCTGGGACCTGTGGCATAATAAACCTACATCTGATTCTTGCAACTTTTCTGCAACATAACCAACCCACTCCCATCTATGGGAATTTAGAAACAGCAGTCATAGCTATATTGGACTGATGGAACGAGTGCCACTAAGTGGGGATGATAGTGACTTTAGTATGAAGTTATGCATTTTGAGCAAGGCAGCCTTGTAAATTAGCAAATCCTACTACAAATCAGTTGGCAGATGCAGTCAGCCTGGCAAGCAAGTAAGACAACTACAGGTTTTGTTAATCCATGAACTGAGACAAATTTGCAAAATTACAATAAAGTTGGCACTGGATTCATTAATGACAGGCTGTCCCTTGGTCAAGTTCGGCGGCATTATAAAGTCTCTCACCTCTGTGTTCTGGGAGGTCATGAAAATATAAGGTGTGAGAAACATCAATACTTTATATTTTGAGGACAAAGATCTTAGAGAGAGAGGGAGGAGCAAGGAGGGAGAGACAGAATGAGATAGAGAATAAACTTAGAGGAAGTGGGTTAAAACTCTTGCCCCTTGCTTTTAGCCAACCTCACAAAAGTTTCTTTAATCCTAGTAGACTTTTTTCATATGAGTGTATGGGTTTAGGTCTAACTTTGAAAACTGAGCCTACGCTACCCCAAACTGTGCTTTGTTTACCCTGCATAGTATTGATACATACTGTGTGTGTGTGTGTAAGTATGTATGTATGTTTGTGTATGTATTTTTAATACTAGTTGCTACCATTTAAGTGTTGGAGGACATGATTCCTACTCCCCCGAAGCAAATGGCTGCCCCTTTCTTCCAGGTGTACCTCTCCATTTAGACGAGCCCCTCTTACTCTTAGTTTTCTGTTTTACCTGAATGCTTTACTACTGTGTTACCATCGTAGCTCCTGTGAACGGGAAGACTCTAGGGCTCAGGTTCAGGATTTGGTAGGCCTCCCGTCATCCATTTCCTCCACCACAGATGACTTCTTTTCAAGCTTGTTTTTGGAAAGGTCATTATTTCTCCATGAAAAAATAAAATTCTAAATCGGCAAGTGTAGAACACAGATGCTGTTAGTTTGTGAAGCTCTCATCTTCTCACATGTAAATGTGGTAGCTTGCTAACCACCTTTTGCTTCCTCTAGCCAGTTATTCTTCAACTGTGGTGAGCATCAAAATAACTGGGGCACTTGTTTAAAGAGAATGACAAGGAGAGCCTCATTCTCAGGGATCCTGATTCTTTTGGTCTGTGGTGGGTCCTAAGCCTTTTTTTTTTAATGCATCACTACTCGATTCTGCTATCTGTCAAGGCTTTGAGACTAGTTTTCAAATGCTCACACGAAACTCAAAATCTAATCCCAGATGGAATTTTCATTTTCCCTCATTTTATTTTATTTATTGCTTGATCAGTGAGGGGCTTAAAGTCACTCACTCCTCTGACCTCAGCTATCTCTCTCCTGGTCTTCCCAGAAACTGACCTTAAGAAAAAAAGAAGACATTACTGGGATAAAATTACTTTGTGTTTTTCTTTACACGTTTTGAAAAAATAAGAATGAATAAAATCTTCACTTACATTTTTCACGTAGAATATTTTATTTATTGTCATTTCCATTTTCCAATAATAGGCCTGCTTCAAAAATGTCATTACTATTTTCTTATTTTTTTACACAAATATATTAGAGAGGCATTATATAATGGGAAATGGTGAATTATTAATGGTTTTTAGAATTTCTTTTTCCTCGAGGGTTGATAAGTAACTAAAAGTCTAAAAAGCAAATGAGCGGAATTCATCAGTTGAGCTTCTTGTCTTGCTCTATTCGTGTTCTTGGCAGCAGAGGACAGTAGGATTTCAATTCACCTGTAAGGCTGGGAAAAAGCAGTTCAGGTTCCTATCAGCCCTTGATGATTCTGGTTCTAAGAATGATTTGAAATTTCTTGTCTGTTTAGCTCAGTGATAGTGCAAGATGAAAAATCCTTGTGCTTAGCTGAGTGAACCCAAGCCCATGAGTACCACTGACACTCTTCAAATCTAGAATCTGAGGAGGTCTTCACATTGTGTCTGTGACCCAATTTCCTCTTCTTTCTTATAGAGACACTATCATACTGAATTGAGGCGCACCCTATGGACCTCATTTTTCCTGAGTTACCTCATTAAAGACCTTATCTCTAAATATGGTGACATTTTAGGGGACTAAGGATTGGATTTCAACCTAAGAATTTGAGTTAGCAGTATGCCAGACCAGACACTATACCAGTTTGGAGCTTCCTCTATCAGACAAGGAGCTTGGGTTGGGACATCTCTAAAACTTTGTCTGCTCTAAAATTGTGAATATAATGAGATACCAAATTTCAGGTTATATGTCAAAGACCCTAGAAATTAGCTGGAGACTGCTGGTGTCAACACAGTAAAAAAATCTTTTTCACTTTCTGTTTCTACCTTTCTGCCAAGTGCCCCCATTGCCTTCTGTTACCTCTTAACAGAATTCTGAAAGAGGATTTGCATGGCGGGGTGTGGGGGGATTCTTTTACTTAGAACTCCATAATCCATCTATTCTCATCAACCTGTTTGAAGTTCAGAGCAAGGGGTTAAAATGTCTGCATTCGATTTCAGATATCTAATGTTTAAATCACTCTATAAACATGCATTTTTAATGACTATTTAATTAAGTATTTTATTTTATTACACTTTTATATTGGGATAAATATTATACTTATATTATAAGGTACAATTTTAAAAACAGTGTGTCAAATTTCAAAATAACATTCCTGATCTTTAAAAACAAACTGTCCAGAACTTATACATATAAATGAATGTCTTTCCCCTCTATGGGTGACTAAACAATCAATACAGTAGTTCCCGTGTTTCTCAGTTTTAGTTACCGCAGTCGACCCCCAGTCCGAAAATATTAAATGTAAGATTCTAGAAATAAGTTTTAAATACATAAGTTTTAAATTGAATGCCATTCTGAGCAGTGTAATGAAATCTTGTCCCATTTCACTTCATCTCACCCAGGACATAAATCACCCCTTTGTCCAGCATTCCTATGTTGTATATGCTACCTTCCTGTTAGTCACTTGGTCGCTGTCTTGGTTATCAGATAGACTATTGTGGTATTTCAGTGCGCATTAAAGTAACCATAATTTTATTTAACATTGGCTAAAGGCACATGCCTCCATCATTCATCTCACTTCATCTCATCACACAGGCATTGTATCATCTCACACCATCACAAGAAGAAGGGGGATACTGTACAATAAAATATTTTGAGAGACCACATTCACATGACTTTTAGTATAGTATATTGCTATAATTGTTCGATTTTAGTTTTATTATTAATCTCTTCCTGTGCCCAATTTATAAATTTAACTTTAGCATATGTGTGTATGTATAGGAAAAAGCATAGATTATATAAGTTTTGGTACTATTTGCAGTTTCAGACATCTACTGAGGGTCTTGGAACATAGCCCCCTTGGACAAGGAGGGGGACCACTGTACTGCATTTTTAGATTTTTTTTTTTAGTCAGTGTGTTAGCCACACAAGGAAGTCAGCCCATGCACTCTCCAGAGTGCATTATTCTGAGAAATATATCTATTTATTCATAGTTCAGCAATAGCACAATGAGATGCTAAATTATGAGATAACTTTTTCTTTGTCTTTGTGTTTACCATCTCATTGACAGCCCAGCAACTCAAGTATTGCATTCTCACCATGAGAATCTATCAGAGTATGCTGCATAAGGCATACTTTTCTGGTAAGTGTACCTTAAGAAAATAAACCAAGTTTAATCAGAGAGACTACTGCAAACTGTAGTTACCAGTTTGTAGTAATGTATAACCAAGCTTTCAATTTCATAAATTAAAATAAATTCCTTTATTGGAACTTAATGGCACATCTCTTCGTCTGATTTTACTTCAAAAATAAAAGAAAATTTTCTTCATCAAACAACTCTGCCATTATGTGTGGTGATATAGTTCGTCTCAGTTGACCAAACGGAGATAAAACAACACTGATAACACTAGTTTAAAGAAATATATCCAATTAAAAATAAATGTTTATGATGTTTGATTTAGTAAAATTATAGGACTAGTATAGAGACCTAGAACAGCAACAGATAGAAAATTTATGTGAAAGATTAAATGCTAATAATTCAAAGATTTAGAATATTTTCCACCTATTGTTATCCAGATTTTCTAATCTTTTTGACAAAGATTAGCACAAATTATAAATCAATAAAGATATTTAGGCTTAACACAATTTTGCTATCTCTAAAGTTTGCTACTTTTTGATTTTTTTTATTATACAGCTAACACATGTCCATTATAGAAACAAGATGAATTAAGCAAAAAATAAAAATAAATGTCATGCATATTCTCGCCAACTAGAAATAAATGTTACCATTTTATTGTGTTAAAAATAATCCTTGCTGAAACATTTTTCTTGAAATGTTCTTCTTTTATTCCCCTTCTTTCTATTTTCTTAATCTCTAATCTTCCAGCACTGAACTGTCTGGATCGCCATAATGCTGATCAACAGAGCATTTTTCTGCAATATCTGAGCACAATGATTGAATTGAATAAACTTCCTTCTGGACTTTAATTAGAAGTAAAACATTCTTCACCATGATTACTGTAGAGCTTGTAGTCATCTTGAACTTTTGTAGTCAGTTTGGAATCTGTACTCTGTATTGAAAAATCTCGCTGTATTGAAAAATCCAGACATCCGTCTACTCATTCTTGCCATCTGAAGGGCTGACATTTTTCACTGCCCCATGCCTTCCCCCCACCTTATACTTTTGAAAATTCTTTTCCTGCTTGTTTTGAATTTCACTAAAACAGAAAAAAATGGTAATTTTTTTTTTTTTTTTTACTTCCTTTTCAAATCCTAGCTCATCTTCTCGGGGCCAATCGCTTCACTGATTTTTTGTAATAATCCTAAATGGGAGTCTCAATTTTTTAAAGTAGTTTGTTTAATTCAGTCCCTGAGATGTTACTCTATTTGTAACTGTCATGTTAGACCTCGAGTGTGTACAATTCCCAGGAAGGTGTGGGAGAGCTTGTTAAACTGGGGTGGTGGGCATGTGAGGGATGTCATCAATTTCTGGGTCTGGCCACACCTGCTTCATTTCTTCTGTTTAGTAAGCTGTTTGGCTATGAAAAGAGATCCATCGCTGTTGCAGAGAATTAATGAATAGCCAATTGTTTTCTCATTTTCTTATTGTCTGATATAAGGGACAAACTCTCATGTAGCCCTGTTTCTGAGTGTTTCAAAGGGAGCAAATACAAAGATTCTAGTGTAGGAGGACTTCCAGTTCCTAATTATTTGTGCATTTCAGATTCCTACCCCAGCAAGAGACTACACTCACAGTGAGAACCATGGCTGTTCCCGGACACTCAGCGCCCGGATGGGTCGGAGGGAAGTTTTGCTTCTTCTCAAGCTGCAGACCAGGGCTGGGAAGTTCCACCTTCTTGCCAGCCAGAAACGCAGCCTTGGGGGTCCTGGTACAGTTTTCTCCGACTAGAGGGCTTGGGGCTGGCTTCTGGTCCTCAGAATTCCTACCAGATTCCCCACCCCTACCCCCAGCATGAATTTGATTTGAAGGTTCATTGTATAACTAACACTCAGGCTTTTTGCCAACCATTGTCTAGAAACAAATTGAATTTTTTGTGTGTGCCTAAATGTAGGAAAAGTAATTAGGAAAAAATAATTTATGGACCCCAAATAGAACTCAGATTTGGGTCAGAGGTTCCAATTCCTCCCATAGCCACTCCTAATTGTGGACTATTGGACAAGTCAGTTCATGTACTCTGTGCTCAGTTTCTTCAGCTATGAAATAAAACAGTAATAATTCTCATGCACTGGTTTATTGAAACTACCATGAATGTGAATGAACTTTGTAAAAGGCCAAGCAAATGACGGGAGGGAATAAGTCAATGACCCTGTAGAAACTGGCACTCTTACTTAAAATTTTCATAAATGATTCAGAAGGAGAGACAAAAGCAAATTTTCTGATTTGCAAAACTCAAGGAGTCATTTAAAAATCTGTCTCAAAGCTGAACAGATACTCATGACCCCTTTCTGCTTTGACATTCCAGGATTCTAAGAGTTTGAAGCATCTATGGCCATGGTTGGCCTTATGATCCCACTATGACTGTGGCATCATAGTTAAACTGTTAATTACCTGTGTGGTTCAGGAGACATTAATCTTAATCTTTATTTATCTTAATAGCAAGCTGCTAATGACGTTTTTGCTGAGGACCACAGGTACGTCCCCACCATGGCCAAGCCAAGTTTTTCTCGGTGTGGCCCGCCTAGAAAGCCCTTCCCAGACGTTTATCTACACAGCTTATGCGTGCAGTTCCATTAGGTCGCTGCCCAAATAACCTCTTCAATAGCTTTCCCAGACCAGTCTTTCAAAAACAGCACTTACCCACCCTTGAACTCTCCAAGACCACAAGCTTGCCTTATTTCTTTAAATAGCACATATCCCTCTCTGACATACTGCATATTTCTTTCTTTATTCATCATCTCCTCTGATGTGATGCTTAATTTTATGTGTTGATGTGACTGGACCATGCTGGCCACATATTTGTTTAAACGTTATTCTGGATGTTTCTGTGAAAGTGGTTTTTTGTTTGTCTTTTGTTTGTTTATTTGTTTACATGAAATTAATATTGAAATTGGTAGACTTGAGTGAAACAGATTACCCTCCATAATGTAATCTGTTACATTATTATGATTAGATGGGTGGGCCTCATCTAATCAGTTAAAAGCATTAAAGGCATTAATAGAACAACCGAGGAAGGAATTTCTTCTTCCCTTAAGGAAGAAGGAATTCAGCCTCCAGACTGCCTTTGGACTTGAACTGCAATTTTTCCCTAACTCCCCAACCTGCTGGTCTACCCCATTGGATTGTTGGACTTTCTAAGCCTCCACGATAGCATAAGCCAATTTCTTAAAATCTCTCTCTCTCTCTCTCTCGCTCTCGTTCTCTCTCTCTCTCTCTCTCTCATTCTCTCTCTCTATGAGTGCGTGCACACACATACACACACACATACACACATACACACACCCTATTGTTCCTATTTCTCTGTAGAACTCTGATTAATACTTTTCACTTACATATAAACTCTATGAGAACAAAGTCATTATATGTTCATGGCTCTGTTTCAATGCACCTGGTACGTAGTAGGTAGTCAACAAAGTATTTGTCCAATTAATTAATTGTAATGAAATAGCTAATATTATTACCAGCAGAATAGATCTTTGAGGTTTCTCATACTTTTTAATCTTTATTATGATGCAGATTCAAAATTATTTTTATTCCTCCTTTTTTCCCCATTTGGTTATCATTTGATGTAGTTTATTCATGTTTTAGAGCTTTGATATAACCTATTTTCTGGCCTTTTCAGAAGCTTTTCTGAAAAAAACTTTTTTGAGCATTCAGATCATTTAGTTCTTTGTGGGTTTCCTGCTTTCTCACAGTCAAAATGTCCCCATTTCTGTTTGGAAAGTTTGGGTTAAATCTTTGCATACTGCCATCTTGAGTTAATGCAAAATTTTTAAAAAATACAAGCTGTATGAAGCACTACTTACATCTCATCATGTTATAGTCACGACGTGCTCTTCAGAGCCATCTTTCTTTTTTATTCTTGACATAGTTCTTTGATGCTGAAGTCAATAAGAAATGTTTCCAGAAATTCAACTTTGTGAAGCAGATGAGAGCAAATACATGAGACTGGTGCTGGTATCTGTGTTTCATGGCCAAGATATTCACGTCTCTTCACTTTTCTACTCCAGGTTTCACATTTCTCAAATTCCAAATGTATTTTAGACAGTAGATTTTGATTTCCAATCAAAAACTTCAGAACTAAAGCAAAATGAATTAAAAAGTACATTTCTTTTAGACAGCTCCAGAAAGCTAGATATATGCACAGTTTTTCAGAAATAGCACTAATGTAACAATCTCTAAATGTAAAATGTGCTACTCCTCTGAGCACTTGATCATTTAAACCAGGGATTGTGGGCCTGCCCAGAAATACAAATCTTTATGACTATATGGTTTCAAATTTTGGGGGTAGATACCCAGAAGAGAGATTGCTGGGACATATAGTAGTTCTATTCTTAATTTTTTGAGAAACCTCCTTACTGTTTTCGATAGTGGTTGTACCAATTTACATTCTCACCAGCACTTAAGAAGTTTTGCTTTTCTCCACATCTCCTCCTATGCTTGTTATCACTTGTCTTGTTGATAATAGCCATTCTAACAAGTACGATGTAGTATCTCATTGTGGTTTTGATTTGCATTTTCCTTGTAGCTAGTGAAGTTAAGCACCTTTTCATATGTCTGTTGGCCATCTGTATGTCTTCCTTGGAAAAATGTCTGTTCGGATCCTCTGCCCATTTTTAATTGGATTATTTGTTTTTTGTCGTTGTTAAGTTATATGAGTTCTTTATATATTTTGAATATCAGCCCCTTAAAGGAGATATCATTTGCAAATATCTTCTCCCATTCAGTTGGTTGCTTTTTTGTTTTGTTGATGAGTAAAGCATTTTTAAATACATTCATCCCAGGAGGAAAAACGGATAACCACATCTTCATCCCTTCTTCCTTGGGAGTCAAATGGTATCCCCCAACCTGAAGGGGTTACAGGCTTGGATGACAAAGGGAGAAAGGCTACAATGGGAGAGATGGGGACTCCTGTGTCAGTGATTTAAACATGTAGAACATTGAGTTCTCCTGACTCAGAATATGTCCATATCATTACTACACTATATAGCACACAAAAATATATGCCATGAAAATGATAAAAAATGACTTTTAGAAAAAAAAATCCTCAGAACTAATAGTTTAAAATTTTCTGATGCTTGGCAATAGAATTTGCATATTCCACGTAAGATGAGAGATTGAGTTTATGTTTAGAGAGACAAAAAATAAATACTAGGAAACCCAAGAAAAGAATCAACTGGAAATTACACCCAAATGCTTCCAAACATTTTTGAGGGCTAATTTTTCTGAGGAACTCTAGTCTATAACTGACTAAAATAAATTTGATACAATGTCACTCATACTTTGTGCTTTTATCTCCAGAAGTAAGGAGCCAAAAATAAGTTAAAGATTGGTTCTCTATTAAATGAAATTCATTTTTTCTGAATAAAGGTGAAGAAAATCTGATTGTATTTGTTGTATGATTGGATAACCAGGAAGGATTCATCAAAACTGTTGATTCTCTGACTCTGTATAAAAAGAGAAGAAATAAAACCTGCTGCCATTTTGAAATTTCATGTTTTTTCCTACTCTACTATGTTGCCCCTCACTGGAACTTTATTATAATAATAATAATACCACTTACTGGACATTTATTTATGATGAGCCAAGAATTGTGCTAAGACCTTTTCGTGCGTTATTCCATTCAGTTATCACAACAAACTCGTGAAGAAGAGATTATTTCTACTTTTTGATAAAGAAAGGAAGACTCAAAATTTGAGTGACTTTATCTGCACTGCTAGGGTAGTAAGTGGGAGCCAGTGCTCACCTTTGAGCCTGGAGCCCTGGCTCCTTCTGATCATCTAGGGTATTCAGGCTGTCATTCAACTGGTCTCCCTTTTTAGAGATGAATTGGCAGGAGGATAGAGCCTCACATTGATTTTTGCCTTTGCACCATGGCAAATACAGCCATTTGGGGGAACTTATCCTTGTGTACCAAGTTGCTTAGTTCAGAAGTCAATATAATTCTCTTCATACTTTTCTTTTGCAGATAGTTATCTTTATTGCTGGACCATTATCTAAAGGTGGTAATACCCAAGTGACCAGTATCAACTCTGAGGTGTTGGAATCAAGTCATAACATTACTGAACGGGAGTCTGGGTGCCCGAAAGGCCTACATCGTGATGGTAAATTCTGCTGTCACCTATGTCCTCCTGGTATGTTAAGCAAAACACTCAGCAATTAGAGTGAAAATCTGGGTGAGGAATAGCATATAGTAACAATAAAGTAATAACAATGTAAATGTTTTTTGGTTCTCCTGAGTAATAGCATTACTGAGAAAAAAGCCAACAACTATGAAATTATTTTTTCAAGACCACTTTAATTCATCTTTATCACACTTGTTTGATGTGGGTATAAATAAATATAATTTATAAATGATATGTACGAAATAAGAAGAATTATCTATTTAGTTCTATTCCTTAGTAGCAAAAGAAGACTCATTTGTGGATATTAAAGTTTATCACATCAGAACTGATTAGACCATCATAATAATTGTGGCACTCTGAAAGCAAGTCTCAGTACTTCTCAATCAGAAGCACTGAAGCCTGCAAAATACATTTGCATTTTGCAGCTTAATACCTAGCTGAGCTAGAAAAGCAACAGATAAAAACCAACAGTTTTTTAAATCAGTATTTTGAAATGCAAACCAGTTTCAGATCGGAAATCCTTCATATTGGAAGCTAAGCAAAATGTGATTGTGCAAGCTTTTTTTTCAACATGAAGTAAGGTAACTACTGCTTCATATAGATATGAATCTCCTTCTGCTGCATTGTGAAGTAAGACAGGACGATAAAGAAAAACAGCTCATGGGTTTATGCAATAGATTATTAGAACTACAAGGGATTGTAGTCGGGTTTCATGGGTGGCCTCCCAGGCTTCCGGCACTTGAGCTGCTAAACAGGCATGGATCCTGTTTATAAAAAGAGTCTATCAGTCTCCCTTGGACTTCTGTCCAGGTGTTAATAACCACTATGGAAAATCTCCCTTATAACCCAACCTTTTTGTACTTAAGCCCATTTATACTTATGCTTCTCCAATTAGGAATGAAGAATGGCTCTCTGGCTTTTCATAACTTGCTAAACACAGTCAATTTGTCCTGTGAATTCATATCTTTACTCATATTAATAAAACCTAAAATGTAAATTAAAACAAAGATAATATGCTTTGCATATCAAACTGTCAAGGATTTTTGTCTGTTTCTTTTTTTGTTTTGCTTTGTTTTACATTCATTTAAGGAGCGATCTCAGCCCTTGTGAGTTCATATACCACTATTTCTTTTTAAGAAAAAAATTGGAGGTAAACGGGGGAACAAAATTTAAATCATTTCTTCAATTAAAAGAATAAATTTAAAAAAGAAAAATAAAAGAAATTTGGATATGTGGGCCAAAAACTTGAAAATGTTTTTACCTACTGATAAAGTGATTGATTTATAGGAAAATGTCTTGAGAAAATAATCAAAATAAAGGAAAATACTGTACACTTGACATTTCATTATGATAGCCAATAATGTAGAATTAAATAAATTTTTGAGTACTCAAAGGCTGACATATTATGTTCAATCAAAGTCTTATTTTCTAATATATTTCTGATATAATCATCAATGTTCCCTTAAGGAATTTCTAACTGATCTGCTGGCCGAATTAACTGATTCTCTCTATTCCATCTCTAAAATATCCTGGATGGCACCCAACATGTGCTGAAAACTTCCCAATTTTGTCTCCTCTTGTTGAATTTTAGGCTTATCAGTATTCAAATTGCTTCCAAATCTGTTTATGCTTATTGATATTGTGATAGAAATATATGATTTAATTAAATATTATATAATCCATAGTATATAGATACAGAGAAAAGACAGATTTTATTTCTGTGAAAATTAGTTTGAATGCTTTGGAGAATTTCAATAAAGATGAGTTGCTAAATTGAGTTGATGAATTAGGTGAAGACAAAATTCATGGAAAAATCATAAATATTTTGATAGATTTTCATATATATTATTAGTGTCTAAGTTTTCTTTCCATCAAAAAGAAAGGAAGGAAGGGAGGAAGGGATGAAGAGAGGGAGAGAAGGAGAGAGGGAGGGAGGGAAGAAAGAGAGAGAGAGAAAGGAAGAAAGAAGAAGGAAGTGAGAAAGAATTTGAAATTTTAATAACTTGGTTCTACATCACAAGATTGACTATAATTATGTAGCTATATTGTATAAATGAAAATGGTTACAGTATTTTTTCAGTAATTCCCTGAGTGAACTGACATTTTTGATTAACTGATTAAATAAGTCCTTGCCATATCACCATATCCAATAAAGATATGTATACATATCTTTATACATATATATACACACATATATTCATATATATATGTATACATACATATATGTACACACACATGCATACCTAGATGTTACATATACATATACTCTCATGTATATATGTATATACTGTTATGCATAGGAGTGCACCAAAATAATAACAATGAATAGCTCAGGGTAATTGACATGTAGGCACTATTTATGCTTTCCTGCCTTTTCCAAATTTTCTACAATGAACATATGTACTGTTATACTCAGAAAAAAATGTATTTTAAAATCTTATTTTTGTGTAAACAACTCATTTTTATATTTTGACGAATTCAGGTTCTGTACATTGGAGGAAGGAGCGAATCTGTGATTTATCGTATCCCTGTCATGCCATGGGCATTGTGCTAGGCACATTCTATAAGGCAGTTCATTAAAGAGGCCAATTTATTTAGAAACTAGCGTATCACTGGCAAGCAAATAAAATTGTACTTTGGCTTGGTTTTCTTTTAAGAATCACATGTTTAAATTAATTTGATTATATAATCAATATTTTGTTTTATTAAAAAGAAGGCTATGAGGTTATTAAGAAAGTCACGTACCTAGGAAAAACAGCATATATTATTTTTGCTGTACATGCCAGTGGGGCAGATTAGACTTTGCCTTTTCTTCTTAATTAATTGTACCATTAGCAATTACAGTCACTCGTCATACTTTTCTCTTAGATTTTTCTTCATATTTTGTCTCTTTCTTCTTCATTCTCTGTCCCCTTACCCTAACCCTGCTTTCCCCATAGCACTTATCACTAGTTGACATTATATGTTTATTTGTATGTTTCCTGCTTCTACCTGGAGGATATGAAGTCCTTGGAGA